TGTGAAGGCAGGCTTCGCATCACTAGTGCTGTCAGACCTAGAAGTAGTAAGTTAGTGTGACTCGATATTTTATCGAGAAGGACGCGTTGGTTGGGAGGAATTAATGAATCGGTCTAATCTGAAACCGAAATTGGCAACTCTTCCATCAATTTACGATGAGACAATTTTAAGAACTCTTTTCAATCAAATTTTAATTGAAAACATAAAGTCATATAACACGAAAGTTGAAAATTTGCCGAGGCCCGATCTGTCTCGGGACCCCTCTTTGCGGTTCGAATCCTATCGGAGGCTGTGCTGCGACCCAGACGAGATTGGAACTGCAATCCGACCAAGGTCAGAAGGCCTTTAAAGAGTCAATGAAAAGTGAATTCCAGCCGCTTCTTGAGACCTACTCTTTTTATCGTGGCAACCTTAACTATCAGGTCTTTGATTGCCCAAAACGGCCTGTGGTTACAATAATTTTTATATAATATTCACTGAGAGATTTTAAGTATAATTACTTTGTATGAAATATGTCATCGTGGAACATGTCATAGTACCAGAAAATGGGTAAAAGTTCGTTCTATTTTAGCTGATTAGTAGTCGTAAAAGCACACCTTCTTAAGGCATAACAAGTATTTCCCAAAGCCACTTTATCGGCTTAGTGACCTACTGGTGCCCTTAGCTGTGTGCTACATGATGCGCATGATCCGGTCTGGGATCATGTTGGGAAAGCCTTGGTCGAAGTTGTAATCCACCATCGGGCCGAAAACCCGGTATAAGGGCGTATCTTGCCGCCTACTCATTTCGTTGATGACAAACAAATGCCAGTTTTAATATAAGAGCAGTATTTGAATACAGCACTTAGATTAGATCTACTTGCAGCCCCAAATCTACTCATGCCACGAAAAATGCTAGTCCCCTAACTACAAATACTCTTTTTTAATATCTTCCCTTAGACTATAAAGCAAAATCATAACTTTTGTAAATAACTTCTAATGTACGACCAGATACATTTTTGCCTGATGAATCATCCTATTACCGTAGAGGTACTATTTTTCCAAGCTCCGACCCGTTAGTGCCCTTGACTATCCGGTGGATAGGCAACGTGTTGCCACTTTAATTGCACGGCTCAGCCTTGAATCCCGTTGGGCATGTGCATGAAATTGTGAGACGAGTTCGATAATGACGTCCAGTCCAGACCGTTGGGGATAATATGATCTATTATGATGCAGGGCTAAGTGTAATTTACTTTACTCTTGGTACCTACTCATATGTTTGCGGGAAATTTAAAATTCACGATCCTTCATTACCCTATTCGATCTAGGGTGTATTAAAAATTATTTTCTGTTGAACTGAAGGTGACTTCAAAAATAAGCAAGTCAAATAAGATTGCGAGTTTTGCAATCCCGGCAAGCTTTGTCATGAATTTCATAAGAAAGTTATTTTACCGTTTAGACCCACCTTACAGCATTATTAGAAAGCCAAACGGGATTCTAACCGTGAATGGATGGATTAAGCAGCAAACACGGGGACTTTTCTTAACACGCTACTAGACAGGCAAAAATTTTAGATCGAATCTTTATTTGGGAAAAGCTGCATCGCAGGACAGTCGGGAGCCTTATAGTAAACTCAATATGTTTATAAAATTTATATAAATAAATTGCTTTTCACCTTCGGCTAGGCTGCCTATCGATACAAAAGTACAAAACAATGGGCATAGCTTACTTTGCCTTTAAAGTTCTGCTCTTTCCGAAACCCATGTGTTTTAGACTCCAGGTATTTCTCTGTTAATTCTTAACTCCACTATTAGAATCCTGCCGAAGGTAACAGATGAAAGGATAGACAAATGTGGAATCGCAATTCATCCAGGATAAGAACTGCGAATTTGGTTACATGCCAAAGTGAAATGTAATGCGAAACTCAATTTTTCGATTAAATTTATGGTGACTAACCCGACTATCAGTTCAAGAAAAGATAGTTTAAAACTTAAATGCGTCAACAAAAGTCGGGCACCTCAGAATAAGTTGGGTAGAAAAATGCAGGTTCGTAACATAGTCAAGCTCCAGGTATCTTGCGAGCTAGCTGTAAGCCGAAATAGGACAATCACCGCCGCTACACACCTGGGAATATTGGTACTTTTTGTTGCAGCCGAGCCAAAGTGCAAACAAACTGTGCGGAAAGACATATTCGTCTGCATTTCAGACGTCAGATCCCAGTCCATTTCCTACTTTAAGTGCAGCGAATTCTCTTTTTCGCCCGGGCTCTTTCTCTCTCTCTCTTATTTGCTCGTCTCTGGATTTGCCTCTCGGTCCAGTTAGACCTGCTTTCTGAAAAGTGAAAGAATGAGGATAAATGATTTCAGGTGACGTGCAAAAGACGTGGTAGGGCCACACAACCATGCCATGCAATGCATTTGCATAACAATTGACTTTTTAAAGATGTTGACCTTGATGATAGTGATGATGTTGATGTTGAGGTCGGTGTTGAAGTTGATGTTAATGTTGATGTTGATGTCGATGTCAAAGTTGATGTTAATATTTATGTCGATAATAAGGTTAATGTCGATGTTGATGTTGAGGTTGATGATGAATTTGATGTTCATGTTGAGTATAATGTCGATGTTAATCTTGATCCTGATGTTGATCTCGGCGTCAATGATGAGGTCAATTGTAATGTTGATGTCGAGGTTTAGAAGGATGGCGAGTATGATGTTGATGCCGATGTTGATATTGATGCTGAATATGGTGTTGATGTTTATGTTTTGGTTGATGTCGATGTTGATGTCTATGTATAAGTGTATAAGTTGATATCGATGTTGATATTGTTATTAATGTTTATGCTGATGTCGATGTTAAGGGTGATGTTGATGTCTATGTTGATGATGAATATGATGTCAATGTTGATGTTGATATTGATGTCGATAGTGAGGCTAATGTGGGTGTGTATGTTGATGCTGATGTAGAATCGGAGGTAAAATTTGATGATGATATTGATGTCAAGATTAAGGTTGATGTCGATGTCGATGTTAATGCTTATGCTGAACAAAGTGTTAACGAAGTTGATGAGGTTAATCTCGATCTTGATTTCGATGTTGTTGTTGATGTTGATGCTGGGGTTTATGCTGATATTGAAGTCGATGTCGATTTTGAGGATGATGGTGATGATGATGTCGATGATTGAGTCGCTATTCATATTTATGTTGATTTTGATTGTGATGTTGATGGAAATGGTGATGTTAGTATTGATATTGATGTTGAGCCTGGTGTTTATGCTGATGTAGAGTATGACGTGGATTTTGATGTTCGTGCTGATTATGATGTTAATGGTAAGGTTGATGTCTATGTTGATTTTGACTATAATTTTAATGTTGAGGCTGATATTAATGATGATGCTGATATCGATGTTGGTGGCTATGTTGTGGATAATGTTGATTTCGTTGTTGAAGTTGATTTTAATGTTAATTTAGATGTTAACATTTACGTTAATGTTGATGATGATGCTAATGGTAATGGTGATGTTAATGTCAAAGTTAATATTGACTATGAGGTTAATTATATTCGTATAAGAGTAGGGTTTCGAGACGTTAATGTTGATATCGATGCTCATGTTGATGCTGATCTTAAGGTTGATAGTGATGATGGTGTCGATTCTGAGGTCGATTTCGATGTTGATATTGATGTTAATATTCATGTCGATTATGAGTTTAATGTTAATGTTGATGTCGATGGTAATGTTGATAATGATGATGAGGCTGATGGCGATATTTACGTCGAGCATGCTGTTGTTGTTGAGGTTTATTATGATGTTGACGTTTATGTTGACGTTGATATTTTAATATGCTGCTAATGTTGATGCTGAGGTTGAAGGAGATGTTGATGTTGATTTTTATGTTGATGTTGCCATTGATATCAATGGTGATCTTAATGTTAATTTTGATGTTTATATTGATCTTGGTGTCGAGGTTAATATTGATGTGGATGTTTATGTTTATGTTTATGTTTATTTTTATTTTTATTTATATTTTTATGTTGATACTCGGGGAGCATAATCTGATGGAATCGAGAATCGGGTTGGATAAGAGAGACAGACCGGAGACCGAGTTTTGAGGACAACTGTGAAGTGGTCGTGTCAGAGGCCGGGCTGTTCGAGAGGCAAGCAAGCGATGGACGATCCGGCCGCCGATCGATAAACAAGCCGTCTTAAAACTCTCCTCAGTCTTACTGGCATGTCTGAGTCCTTGGACAAACGAGCGAATGCGTCAAGTGTTGCTGTGAGTTGATC